AATAATCCGTAAATTATGTAAACTTACAAACTTTTATAAAATTTCTCAAACCGATCAAAGGAAAATTAGGCAACATATTTTTTAATAGTTTCTCGAATCCTAGTTTGCGACGTAAAATGAGGCAAATTTTCACTAACCTGGGGTAGCTGTAAGCTTGAGATATATACATACATACATACAGTATCCCACTTAATTGTAGATGCAGTGCATGCATGCATTATATAAATCACAAATTCTCCAAAACGGGTCAATATTTCAAATTGATTTTTACACCAATTATCAACCATATTTCATACTACAATCGTGCAAAATTTCAAATGAGTTGGTCTAAAACTGATGAAGTTATAGATTTTTAAATGTCAAAAGGTTGCAAATTGCACGCCACAAAATTGTAGATGCAGCCGAGTTTAATTATGATACCGACCCAGTCTTTTAGTGTAGATACAAATTTCGTTCGGGATTGCTTATTCCCCATAAGAATAGTTGTTTGAGTTGTCAATAAAAAATATTTTGTGAAAATTTTATTTACAAAATAGTACATAACCACGAGGTCAATCTAGAAATTCGAACAGAAATTCTTGCGGGTAATGAAAATGGGTAAAGTTATGGAAAAACTGGCGAAAAATTTGAAACTTAAAGATAACTAGTACAATCTATTGTCCAAAAAGAGGAATTAAATGCCAACTCATTTTATCCATCACGAACAGAGTCTAAATAGCCGTTCATCGCCATGTCATGACTTATAAGAACAGTGAGGATAGTCCTCGTCTGCTCACACCAAAACTTGCGAGCGGTGTCCAAAGCGACCTTTTTACTGATGTCCACTTATAAAAGAGTAGACACAGGCCGATATTCACTGAATTATCTGGAGATTTTCCAAGATAAACACCATAGATCTCAGTGGGACACCACAAGAAATCCTTACCTTTAATAAGCCAAACACAGAAGGTCCGCTTGTGCCAGGAAATTTTTTTTCCTCCTGGATGAGATCAAAATTCCACTTCCTGGTTCAGATGGAGTTATCAGAATGTGGCGGAGCTAAAACATAAGTGTGAACAATTGATTTCTGTGGGCAATTGTTAAAAATAGATATGTCAAGGAAATCTTGGCTGCGGGTTTATTTAGTATGTGGTGTGAAACTTTCGATTTCTTGCCGGAATGGAATGGTTTGAGGCAGTTTCCGTTAGTACGGGATAGGAACCTTGAAATGTGTCGCAGACATGCTGCAAAACGAGGCTTATCTTGATTTGGTAAAAATAAATCTTTGTCGATTTGCAAAAAAATCTGACTTTGGTCACAGATTTATCTTCCAACATTACGAGTTTTAGATAAATATTACAAAAATCATCCCAAATTGCTTCAAGGGTAGTACAATAAAGGTGTTGGGTTGGGGTTTTCAATCCCCCGACCTCAGCTCGATCGAGCATTGATGGGTACCCTGAACGCATCATCCGGCATAACGGGAACCTATAAATCCAGCTAATCTGAAAACAATAATCACAGAAGAGTGGATCAAGATCGACCAAAGCGTCACTGAAAGATTGGTGGAGTCGACGTTCAGACGAATTCAAGCCGGTATTGCAGCTAAAAGTAGGCACATAAAATATTGAAAGGGTTATTTAGCTGCATCTACAATTTTGTGGCGTGCAATTTGCAACTTTTTGACATTCAAATATCTATAATTTCATCAGTTTTACACCAATCCATTTGAAATTTTGCACGATTGTAGTATGCAATATGGTTGATAATTGGTGTAAAAATCAATTTGAAATATTGACCCGTTTTGGAGAATTTGTGATTGATATAATGCATGCATGCACTGCATCTACAATTAAGTGGGATACTGTATGAATATATGCTTCTAATTCTGAAATCATTGCGGAAGTAAACTTTAGTTTATTGATCAATGATCATTTCTGTGTTTAAAGCAGGTATGTATATGCGAATAGCACTGATCAGACTATATAAATATTTACATATGTACAGGGTGTTAATAAAGTCCGATCCCATTTTTCCTGTAAAAAAGTGAAGGCTAGTATAAAAAAAAACTACCCGTGATACTTACAAAAAATGTTCGACATATTTACCTTAGTATTTGGTCTTGTTACCATTTACTTTAACCATGCCCTCAACTCTTTGTTTAAGGCTCTGTGCTAATTTTTCCATTGTGCCTCTGGAAATCGAATTCCATACATCTTGAACTTTTTTTTACTAGCTCTTCCCTCGTCCGGGGTTGTGGCTCTTTGTATACATTTTCCTTAAGTATGGACCACTGGTTCTTCAGGGGATTCAAATCTGGGCCGTTAGCGGCCCACACCCCCTTGCTCCAGACCGTTGAAACTTGCGTCTTGATGAGACTCAAACTCGCTTTTGCTGTATGGGCTATAGCACCATCCTGCATGAAAACTATTTTTCTTTCATTCGGAAATATTTCCTTGTTCCCCATGCTATCGAAATAGATAGGTAATATTTTTTCCATATAATGCTTTGCATTGACTGATTGGCCTTTTGGTATGATATGTAGAGGGGTCACGCAACGTGCACAAAATCCACCCGCTACCATAACTTTAAGCCCGAATTTTGGGATCGCTCTTGATGGTACATCCGATTTGTTTTCTGTCCTGTAACGAACATTTTGTTGGTTCAATTTTGGATATAGTTCAATAATAGATTCGTCAGTCCAAAGGATGTGACTGCGCAATTCTTCACCAAGTCTTTTTTCACTCAAATGGGCACTTTTCTGAAGGAGTTCTTCAAATTTCAGACGGTCATCGATATATTTTTGTGACATGAGAGGTTTTTTTGGTTAGTTTGTAAGCTGTGTGACCCCACTTCGTAGTTTTCACAAATTTTTGCACGGTCACACAGTTAATTTGCTTCTTCTTCTCTTTATAGCGTTTTGAGTCATTTAACTCCCTTGCTCAATTACGTAATGAACTACCGGTTTTCTTGCAAAGTCTGTTTTTAATCATTCTTTTTGTGGTAGGTGACACCTTTCTGGGTCGCCCTGGTCGCTTTTTGTCGTGGACAAAATTTTTATTCTTCCATTTCCAAACAGTTCTGCGGCTGCAGCCCAATTTTTGCACAATTTCTGTAGGTTTAAGCCCCTGCTGATGCAATGTTTGTATCTCAACTCTAAGATGCTCATGACTTACACGTTTAGTTGTTCCTCCCATGGTAAAAATTTGAAATAAATAACTTCACTGGTTCAAAAGTTCCAGCTGAATTTGTAACAACCACGCTCCAAAAAATGCATGGGATCGGACTTTATTAACACCCTTTAGATATACATATGTAAATAGGTACGTATGAAAATGAGTTTATTGTGACCGCAAAAATGTCGTTTTCCTACGAGCATCTTCGCCTACGAAGAAGAGTTAACGGTTGTGACCAAAGCGTGATAGTCATACATATTTATATTACTATCACAAAATTACTTTGTTTTATACATCCTGACATTGGTATACCAATGTACAAAACAAACTAATTTTTGCGTGCGCTAAATGTTTTGGTAAATTTGTAATGATCATTGTTCATTTTACAATAATAAGCTCACAATTTAAAGTTCAGTGTTGATGAAGCCTACAATTCACAACAATTATTATCAACTTTCTGAATATTTGACCTATATTTTGGGCAATTTACCTCATTTAAGTAAATAAGTACGTTATCAAAAGTTTAATTTATTGGATTGTTTGGTTTTTCGTTTAATATTTAGAACCTTCAAACATGTATCATTTTGTAAACTTAAACAGTCAATTATGAAAAAAAAAATATTTACAGGAAGTGGCGGAAAGATTAGAGTTTTTAAAGGGTGTCACTTAATAGTGTAATTGTAAAATTATTCAAATACCCGTTAAACCTACGCAAACAATAGATTTGTATTTTAGCTCAGCCTAAACTTCATAAAAATTCAAAATCGTGCAAAGAGTATTATTTTCATGACCGATATTAAGATTATCCTTTGTATCCTTTTTAGTATATGAAAAAATGAGCTAATCTATTCATATGACATTTATTAATTACCAAGTATTGTTGTGTTCACATGATTCGATTTATAAATATGTATGCATACATATAATTTTATATGCATATAAAATCATGTACACTTGCTAATTTTCTTTATAAGTCGATTGATGTCGAAAATTAAGTAAAAACTGTTCGCACTACATGCAGATAAACGGGTGCCCGAAAAATCGTGTGGGTATGCATGTAAACTAAACCCTAAATATGAAAGCTTAGTTAGATTAGACCAAGAAATGCTATGAAAAGTATTTTATATTTTTTTTCTCCAGTGAATGATATAGAATTTTAACATTTCCAGCACCAGCTCCCAATTTCATTCACGGAATTTCAGTTATGAAAGGAATTTAGCCAAAGGTTGAGAAGGTTTAGGCTGTGGAAGGGTTGAAGCTATATTTAGACGGATTAAATACATTTTTCCAGTATTCATGATTTCCCTGAAAATGCCTCGCTAATCCTAACCTAAAAATGTGAATATTAGGTAGATAAATTAGAATATTTATACTGGACAACATTGGACATTACATTTTTCCTGTATAAAAGGTTATTCAAACCTAAATATAAGGGTTGCCTGGAAGCTTTTTACTTCGGGTTAATCCTTTCGTGCATTTATTTAGAGAAGGTTTAATTACGAAGGTATGTAAATACGTAGGGAACGGTCATAAATTGTGCAACGCGAAAAAAATTGCGATTTTCTAGACTACCCTCCCCTTCCCCTCTTTAACATGTGTCACGTGCATAGGCACGATGTCATTGGACCCCTTCAACCCTCCTCTTCCGTTACATAATTTATGAATGTCCCCATTCATATCTATCCGCATAGGCGTGTGATGGTTACAATGCCCGACAATGGAATGCTATTTTTGAAACTGGATGCAGTTTCAAAAATAGTATTCCATTATCCCCTCATTTCCAAATGCCCAAGTCAAATTAAACACTACTCAATCCTTCACATTTGATTCAGTGCGTGCGGCAAGAGAAGTCAATTTTGTCTCCAGTACCTCTAAAGTGTAGTGCAATAAGTATTACATATGCAGTTATCCACATATTTACAATTAAGTAGTTGTTGTAATAACACACAATTTTCAGAGCACCTACCAGAACGCCCAGATATTTCCGATACAAACACTTACACATTTTTAAAATTCGACGTCCAGTTTTATATACATAATTATTCGCAATTTTCAATCATGGAGCAAGCTCTGTCAAACCATTTGGTAAGAAAGCTAACACACACCGTAAATAATCTGGTAATAAAGATTACCGAAAAGTACACGCATGTGCTTTTCTCTACCAAAGTGGTAATGATAAGTTGTGCCGTGTGGTAATGGCTTGGTAATAAAGTTTTACCATCATGGTAACGAATTTTTACTACCTGGTAAAAGATTATTACCAAATTGATTTACTGAGAAATAATTATCTGCATGACTTTACCGGATTATTAAGAGTGCATAATGTTTCAAAATCATACTCCAATAAATTTTTATATCCCTAATATTTTCAGATTCTTGAGAAAATTATGGAACAATTCGTACGAAGTGGGAATACTGGCTTAAAAAATTTACGCCTCGTCTCACCCGACTGGAATGATGCAGTCGTCTCCCTCCGCGATGAAAACTTGGTGCTAAATGTCAATCCCGACATCAAACCGTGTGGCGCAGGGCCCTTCATCGATCCCTCGTTATATCTCAAAATGCACCCCAAGTTGATAAGGTCGATTCACTACAACCTCCATTCATGCCTTTATCCCGGAAATCTCGAAGTTTTTGGACGTTTTGTGTCCCAACTTGGCGACAGAATTGAGCACCTTTCCCTCCTCATTTCGACCGACCTGGGTCATATTTTGCACACTTTTTTCCTTACGGGTAACCTGCCGAACTTGAAAGAATTGGTGGTCACGATTGACGACAAGAAGACGCATTGGAACAACTGGAAGGCGATGGAACAACTTGGTGTTTCTTCTCCAATTGTAACAGGTAACCAGAACTGTCCACATTCATTTATTCAGTAAATAATGAATAACTTATGCATTCATTCATTATTCAAGGAATTCATGAATAATGAAATAGTAGAGTATTTTTTTCAAAATTTTTGATTGAATAAATATTTAATGAATATTTATGCATTTAACAATTCTTCAAGCATGTGTACATAATTTGAATAATGTAACAAAATTATGCATTATTAACCTTTTGCATAATACATAAATACAAACAATGTTTGTCAAACATACATGGGGAATATTAACAAATCCCTCTAATTATGTACAGGGTGGTTTAAATGTCACGCTACAATGGAAAATTTTTCAATTGCAAAAACCTCTTAAATCTTAATTAGTTACAAGATTTTGGTTTGAGATTTTTATTGCCAAAACTGATGAAAAACTGATGACGAAATTCTTAAAATTTGGAAATGGAAATTTAAGGAAATCTATGAATTTTTCCCATCTAAAAATTTTCCATTGTAGCGTGACATTTTAACCACCCTGTAAATGGATTTGGGACAAAATAAATAACGAATAATGAATAGAGATTCATTATCAGATTTTGTATATGTATGTATGTATGTACGTACATACGTTACTATATATCTGTAACCAATGAACAATATTTTTCAGTTTTTGAATTGAATGAATTATGAATAAATACTAATCTTTTGAACAGCTATCGTTCCAGCAAAAAGAAGGCTGACCAAGATCGTGTACAATGTCCAATTCAAATCGGCCCATACAACCACCTCGACCCCGGAACAACACATATTTCTGCAGCAGATGCTAAACGCAGCGCCCAATTTGGAACAATTAGAAATCAGGGACGATTATTTCTCCGCTCCTTTGCGGCGTTTTGATTACCTGAAACGTTTCAAGTTTGTTTTGACATATAGTACAAAAGGAGACATAGATGTGACCTGTTTCCAGAATTTAACCCAGTTTCTGGAAAAAGTGAAAGTTTCCTTGGAACAGTTAGAGCTGAACACGAGCATCACCGGTGTATTTTAACTATGACCTATTTATGGATATGTTTCACCTCCCGAGAGGCGGGCTGCCAAAGTTGACAAGTTTCGTGAACGGTGCAATGAGAATTTTCAAAATTACGTTCGCAGAAGTGGAAAGGATGAAAAAATTGAAAAAGCTGGATTTATGCGAAATTCCTGGCGTCCCTCTTCCGCGAGTTAGTCTCGTCACTGGGGCCATCGTGACACGTGGGAATTATTGCTGGAGGGATGTAACCGATTTGAGACTGTGTGGGCTAGAATGCCCGAATTTGTTGGTTATACTAGGTATGTACATATTTATGCACTCTAAATAATTTGGAGACAAATCGTCATCCATGGAAGGACAAAAATGCTCTATTTTTATATGGGTAATGACTACTGTTCTTCCATTATTATTAGTCGCGAAAGTCCGATACTTTTTCTGAGAAGTTATTTGGCAATATATTAGTTTAATAATTTCGTCATTGGCAACAATAGAAAAACTGTTGTAAAATAAAAAGAATAGGATGGTGTACAAATTTCTGTTCACAAAATTTTATTTTAACTGCCAGGAAACCTTTCAGAATTTTTTCCGACTAATAATACTGGATGAACGGTAAAGAGCCGTTTTGTCACTAACAAAAATGAACTTGTGTAACGAACACAAATGACGTCGTTATTTGTGTTAAAATTAAATAATTTCATGTAAAAAAAATGTTATATTCAGAATGCTCAATTTTTTTAATAACGATGGCAATATTCCTTAAACGGGTTTTTGGCTTATTTCCAGTTCGTGCCAAAATGTCTGCACTATACATATTTAGTACCCTCGCGGGTAAAGACTTGTCTCCAAGTTACTTAACCCGCAAATATATATACTTGCAAATTTTGAACAAAGCAGAATTTGCCCAATTTTTAACAAAATTTCCATTCATCCCAACTTTTTAGCGTCCAGGTTTCCATCCTTGAAAAAACTTAGCGTGACGGTGTGCGATTATTTGGCACCAGGAAAGACAAGTTTTCTGCAAATGGTTTTCCACAAGTTGGCGACCCTTCCGGGTCTGACGCACCTTGAAGTCGTGGCCCGATTTCCGACCCGTTTCCCGAAATTTTTAGACTTTCTTGACTATCTGGCAGAATTTTGGACAGGTAAAAATTTTACTTATTAAGGAGCTACATACATAATAATTAATGAAAGTATTTAACAATATGTATCTGAATTTGTGAACAGACACCACACAAGAAATACGAGTCTCGGGCAGCGCATGGAACGAAGAGCGGAAAGCATGCGAAGAAAATCGGTTTTACAGCATAATCAGTGAAAGCAATGTGGACCGATTTCTCAGCCTCGTTCCTTCCCTGAGGAGACGGAAATTGACCCAATTTCCCGGACTGTTCATCGGTGGTCAGGAAATTCTAGAGTTTCGCAAGGATATTGAATTTAATTGGAGAGGGAACGCCCATAAATAATTACGTAACGTGGAAGAGACAGCGTGGATGTAAGGCTCCAAGGATATTGTGCCTATGTTAAATGAAAAAGGTTCCATTGTTAGTTGAATTTGTAAGCGAGAAATAGTTTTCAAAATTTGAATCAATTTGTAATTTTGAAGAATAAGATCGAGAAATGTATTTTTTAATTAATTAATTGGCATCAGTACTAAAATCCAGAGTTTTCTGAGAGGGTTCCATCGCGTACACAAATTTTGCCTAAAACTTCATAATACCGCAATGCATCCTGACGTTTTAAACTTGTCGGCTTCGTCTTTATTATTAATGGTGCATATTTAGAGACAATTTATTTACTACTAGCGTATAAGCCCGTCTCCCACCTGGCGAACGTTTAACCACACAATTATTATTTTTCATTCTGAATATCTCTGAAGTTGATGGAAGTGAAATGAATTTATAACACTCGAAAAATTAAAATAATATGCAAACAAATTTGCACTTGCGTTGCGGAACATATATGTTCCGCAACGCAAGTGAAAGCTATAGCTTTCACTTCCGTTGCCAACAGACATTTCCAGCTTATAATATAGATTTGATAAATTTATTGATAACCGTTTTACCAACTTCATTCCAATTTCACACTTTTATGTACATGTATGTACATATAGTGGGAAGAAATACATGTAAAATTCTTTCTTAAAAATCGTATAATTTGTATTGCTCATTGGTCAACGAATTATCTATACAATCGACATTGTTAATAAATTTGTGTAAATTAAACATATGTGTTTGAATGTTCTCAAAATTCCAAATGCGCATCAAACTGGTCATATGTACCGATATTTTGTATACTTGGACCGGACCATACATAAATATGTATTTAGCTTGACTATGAAGAAGCTATTCATCCGGGGAACTTGCCTTACCTCTTTTACTGAGGAATTTTGTTCGAAGAATCACAGAAAATTAGTTGTAATAAGACAATATTAGTGGTATACATACATAAGTGAGTTCCTCATTTTAACCTAGTTATTTGTCGAAGGTTTATGTAATTTACGTATCATAACTGCAAAAGGGTTGAAAAGTCTTCGGCTGGGGAAGGGCTCGAGCTATATTTAAACCGAGTAAAGTGCATTTTTCCATTCGCTAGGATTTACCTGAAAATGATGCTGAGCTAAAAATGTTAATATTCGCAGAATTAGATTATATGTACATAATGGGCACCCTTACATATTTATTTATGGATTCCGTATTTAAAGATTCATTCGAAACTGCAAAGGCTGTCTGTGAGCCTTTTCCTTGTATTCAGTCTTTATGTAGACGCCTCTGAGAAAGGTTTGATTAAGCAGGCAAGCTACATAATCCAAAGTTGAAATTCCATTCCATTGAATTTCATTTCATTTCTCAATTCACAGTCAGTATTCAAGTCACGCAATTTGATCGACGTAATTTTCTGCATACATAAATACTACATTTTTAAAATTGTATCAAAAAGTATATACAGTCAATGGAAAAAGTATTGGCAACCCCCACGCCAGCTAAATAAAATTGGTTATAACCTTGGAATGCATTATACAATTGGCATGAAAATTTGTACGCACTTAGAAAATATAACGTAGTTTTCGATTATAATCACGATTTAGTAATTAAAATTCTATTAACACATTTTTTAAATAAGTTATTGGAAAATTTGCAAAATTAACCTGCAAAAAGTATTGGCAACATGTGGCCAAATTAATTACTCGAAACAATTTGCTTCGTCACCTACCACATTTCATTACGGTAATTTAATTAGGTGACAAGATATGACGATAGCTACATTTTAAGTCCGCAGTTGTGTTGTCTGGAACCAAAATGGCGACACCAAACGAGCTCTATTTGGCGCGGCGAGAAATATTAATTTATTTTTCGCAAAAAAAACTTGGATATCGAAAAATCAATGGTAAACATACTTTTCCATATTTACTATTGGAAAAGTAGCCAAGAAATGTAAAATGACACTTTTAGTTTCTGCTTTTCCATGATGCGGAAGATAAAAAGTCCCCTACGCCCAAACGCAAATGATGAATGAAGCAACAAATTACTTGAAATCGGAAGATTTCAACACCCAAAACCAATTAGAATTTGAGAACCAACTGTGGATTCAATATTTCATACAATAAGGTGATCAATCAAAAATCATGCCATGGGATTTCAGGGTCCAGTAGCCCCATAGAAGAGAAGACCCCCGAAATGAACCAACTCAAGGTAGTTAAATCAGCTAAATACCACCCTTAATAGACTTCCAATGGATGAAGGAGGGTCTAGTTGTCTCACATAAGTAAATTTAACTTATTCGGTGCGGGTTGGATGGTTAGAGTTTGGAGGAAGCAAAGTGAGGCTCTCAAAAATGAACGCTGCCGTCTGGGAGTCAAGCTCGGAGGAGGATCGATTATGGTTTGGGGTTGAATGACTAGGTCGTTGCGTAGTTAGCTGGTCATTATCGATGAAGCTATGACCAATGGGGTCTAAATAATCATTCCAAGCGATAATTTGAAATCGGTTGGCAAAAACCTGACCTAAAAAGGAATTTAATGTTCTAAAAATGCAGTGACCCCAAACATGTAGCCAAATTAACAATGCAAGTTTTTGGGAATCTACGAGGTTAAGCTTCTTTCGTTGGTTGCACAGTCTACAGATGTGAATCTGATTGTTCAGGTTGAGAAAGGGCAGACTGGTTGAAAACCACTCATCAAAAAAAGAGCTGGCCAAAATTTTGAACGAAGATTAGGCAGCCATGTTAAAAAGCGTTATAAAAAGATTTTTCGAATCAATTCCAATGCGTATTTCTGCCCTTATTGCGTCGAGAGGAGGTGATATGTATTACTAGAAGCAGTTTGTCGCAATAAAATTGGCGTTTCTTTGATTTATACTTTTTTAAGTTAAGGGTTGCCAATACTTTTTGCGGGTTAATTTTGCAAATTTTCCAACAAATTATTTAAAAACTGTGTTTATCTAATTTTAATCAATAAAACATGATTATAATCCAAAACTACATTATATTTTCTAAATGCGTACAAATTTTCATGCCAATTGTATAATGCATTCCAAGGTTATAGCCAATTTTATTTAGCTGGCGTGGGGGTTGCCAATACTTTTTCCATTGACTGTATCTATTAATTATCTGCACATTAAGAACAAATTAGTGTAATCACATAAAACTTTCAGAACAAGAAGAACTTTCTGTGAGAAAATATTTACCAAAAAAATAAGTGCACGATTTAAAAAAATCAATTCTACCAAATTTGTTACAAGCATTCAGCATGGAGCAAGCTCTCTCAAACCCATTGGTAAGAAATTTAACGCACACATTTAAATATGCAAAAGTAAAAAAGTAATCTGATAATTTTAAATGTCTACACTCTTAGAAACTTGGTATTGAAAAAAACCTAACGGTATTGATACGTGACTCTACCGCCTTGGTATTAAACGGTTATACCATATTGGTATAGAACCGGTATTGAAATTATACCTTATGGTAATAATTTTAATATTAATTGGTATTAAATTTTTTACCACGTAGTATTAACTCAATACCGGATCAATACCACGCGGTAGAGTCACGTATCAATACCAACGGTTATTGAGTTTTTTAAGAGTGTATAGACATTAAAAATTAACTAAATTTTAATTAAATTAATTACATTAAATTAAAAATTAACTAGATTTTAATTAAATTGCTTAATTACATTAAATTAAAAATTAACTAAATTAATTAATTATATTAATGCGAAGGACCTGAAAAAAAATATTTTTTTAGATTCTTCACAAAATTATAGAACAATTCGCACGAACAGAAAAGAAAGGCTTAAAAACTTTACGCCTCGTCGCCACGAACTGGAATGAGGCAGTCGTCTCCCACCGCGATGCGAACTTGGTGTTAAATGTTAATCCTGACGTGAGACCGAGGGGGGCAGGGCCCTTCATCGCTCCCTCGCTATGTCTCAACATGCACCCCAAGTTGATCAGGTCGATTCACTACAACCTCCATCCGTGCTGTTATCCAGGAAGTTTCCACATTTTTGAGCGTTTTGTTTCCCAACTTGGGCACTTAATTGAGCACCTTTCCCTCCTCATTTCCGTCGACATGGGTCAGATTTTGCACACTTTTTTCCTTTTACGTGTAACCTGCCGAACTTGAGAGGATTAGTGGTCACGATTGGCGACAGGAGGACGATTGGCGAGTGGAAGGAGAGGAAGCGAGATATTTATGCTGACATCGTCACAGGTAATATTTCAACCGTGATTCATTTGTTCGATAGGGAATGAGTAAATTATTCATTAATTATTCAGCAAATTCATGAATAATGAGTGAATGATTTTTGCAATATGTTTGAATGAATTATATTAAATAGCTACATGTTTATTTATTCATTTCATATTCATGAAGCACGAATGAACATTCATTTTTATCCTTATGCCTTATCTCTCTTCTTTT